TATTTATTTCATAAAGATTGAAAATGCACGGCATGTTAGTGTTTTATTTTCATCAACCTTGTAAGGACTGGTTAAAGTATGCCAGTTTGGAAGAGAATGTCTTGATTCATTACATTAGTGGAGAAAACACTTTTGCTTAATAGAAATATGCAGTAGATATTTTAGGGCTGCATGGAAGGTCTGAAGGGTGGTGAGGGTACGAATCTCCACGGGGAGATCGTTCCAGAGGGTCGGAGCTGCCACTGAAAAGGCTCTCCTCCGCGTAGTAGCCAGCCGGCACTGGCTGGCAGATGGCACTCGGAGGAGGCCTAATCTATGAGATCTAATCGGTCTCGAGGAGGTAATCGGCAGGAGGCGGTCTCCCAAGTACCCAGATCCACTACCATGAAGGGCTTTGTAGGTGGTAAGAAGCACCTTGAAGCGCACACGGAGATCAACAGGTAGCCAGCGCAGCTCGCGGAGGATAGGTGTTATGTGGGTGAACCGAGGTGCACCCACAATCACTCGCGCTGCCGCATTCTGGACTAGCTGAAGTCGCCGGATGCTCTTCAAGGGCAGCCCCATGTAGAGCACGTTGCAGTATTCCAGCCTAGAGGTCATGAGGGCGCGAGTGACTGTTGTGAGTGCCTCCCGATTCAGGTAGGGTCGCAACTGGCGCACCAGGCGAACCTGGGAGAATGCCCCCCTGGTCACAGCCGACAGGTGGTGATCAAAGGTCAGCTGTGGGTCCAGGAGGACTCCCAAGTTGCGAACCCTGTCTGAGGGGTGTAAAATTTGGCCCCCCAGCCTGAGTGATGGAACGCTAACCAAATTATTGGGAGGGAAACACAACAGCCACTCGGTCTACAGTCTACTTCAAAGATCCTTTATTTTCTTCCTCAGTCCTAGATGAAATGAAGTCAAATAGTAGAAAAGGACCACAACCTTCTTTATCACCTTTGTTTTAAAATGTTATTATGCTTCTTCTCTCCAGTAGATGGCCTTTACTGTCCCTGTATGCAATCAAACCAATAATTTGTCAAAAATTACCAAAAATTGAACCACAAGCTCAAAGTCTAATTGCAAATTGTCCAAATGTTTCCCTTTGTTGTTTTGAATTTCTCCGGTTCCAATTTTATTAGTCAAATTCTCCTTGGGCTTGGTATTTACTCACTGAGTATTTTCTCCTTTCTTTCCTGCCTCTATGTTCCAAGTGCCTTTTAGCTGCAAATTTAGCTCCGGAAAATTTTGTAAGCACCGAAATTAAGATCTTTTGTTCTTACATTGGCCAGTCTTTCTCTGGTCCCAACACTCCGTTAGTTACTCTGCTCCTGCACCATTTTTATTCCGGTTGCCCCAGCTCCAGAATGGTCATTTGAAGATGGCCAACACCCCCACCATCGATCTATGGAGAGCATGGTTTCCAACATGCTGGGGAGCTTGCCTTGCTCCCCGCAGTCACCCGAAACACCTCTCCTTGTTCCCCATCCCTTCAGGATGATTCCAAGGGATCCACAAGGGACCTCTCGATGGCAGTTTGCTGGCTGGATTTTCGCATAGCTCCACAGAGCTCGCCATTTCCCCAGCCGTTCTCGCCATGACACTTCCAGGTTCCTCTACATTAAAGAAGTTTTGATGGTGTTTTTTCTAGCCTGTGGTCCACTAGGTAACAGCAGTAGCCTGTGAGAAAGTTGTTTATATTCCCTGTTGCATTTCTCTTTCATTTTATTACTATGCATGTCCATGTAATGAAATAGATGATGTGCTCAATTTGGGGAAGGTTTAAATGTGTAAATATTGGCTGTTTTCAGTTAACATCATAAATAAGAATTTGTACATAATTGTAACTTCTGTACAATATCAGGCCCATACAAGTTCCCTTTCTAGCTTTGGGTGCTCCACTCTGATCTGTTTGGCTACATTTCCCTATTAAATTAGGCCTTCTGAAACAATCAACAATGGTTTCAAACTTTGCTTACCAAATAATGATGCAATCACAATTCCCCCCGCTGTCTTTTATTACTGTCGTTTATAGTTTGCTTATGTCCAAAATCATTTTAGGATAACATCAATATGTTTAACCACCAGAAATATAGATAAAAGAGAAAATGATGTCATGTTGCCCTGAGCCTTTTGCTCTTAGTATTCTTTCAAGAGGACAGTTGTTACATAATGGAAGTTAACAACTCTTCGTCTCAATAGGCAACTTTCACTTAGAGCAGTGTTTTTCAACCTTTTTTGTGCAAAGGCACACTTTTTTCATGAAAAAAATCACGAGGCACACCACCATTAGAAAATGTTAAAAATTTTTAACTCTGTGCCTATATTGACTATATATAAAGTAATTTTCCCACGGCACACCTTACACTATGTCACGGCACACTAGTGTGCCGCGGCACAGTGGTTGAAAAACACTGACTTAGAGTGAGCTGAGCAGCTACATACATTTTCATAAAGAAATAAGACCGTAGGGAAATGCAAAATCAATGCCATTGTGACTGGGATCTGCTATGTAAATAATTTAAATTTTGTTACCTGTCTGGATGGCTCTGCAGCACTCAGTTTATCTATTTACTTATTTGCAAAGGAACACATAAAAGTCTGTGCTGCAGATGCTCACAATTCCCCCCCCCCTAAACTTTCATTTTTTCCACTCTGTCCTTTATTTGTTTAATATCTCCAGTTAAGTGTTGTATCTGTACATACAGGGCGGGGCATAACCTTTTCCTAGGGGGTCACAGCAACACTTGTAATAACAACACAAATAATTCATACACCATTCGAAAGCCCATCAAAAACTGAGTTTATTGACACGATTTAATAGTCAGTATGACCACCATTAGCCCTTCGAACAGCATTCAAACGAGGTGGATAAGAACACAACAAATCTTCAAACAGTTCCGTTCGATTTTCCAGATTTTTCAACACAGTTTCCAAATTCATTCTCAAAGTTTCAACCGAAACAAATTTAACATTTAATAGCTCATTCAATTCAGTTTTTTATGGGCTTTAAAATGAGGTGTCGCGGAAGTTGTAAACTGCTGTCGATCTTGCTGTGACCCCCTAGGAAAAGGTTATGCCCCGCCCTGGAAAATCTGGAAAATCGAACGGAACTGTTTGAAGATTTGTTGTGTTCGAATGGTGTATGAATTATTTGTGTTGTTATTACAAGTGTTGCTGTGACCCCCTAGGAAAAGGTTATGCCCCGCCCTGTACAACAAGTGTTGTATCTCCATGTTGTATCATGGAGTTCCTTTGAAAATGTATCAAGTTTTAGCAATAGCACTTATATGCTGCTTCATAGTGCTTTTCAACTTTCTCTAAGCGGTTTACAAAGTCAGCATGTTTTAGCAATAGCACTTGGATTTTTCAGAGTATAAGATACACTTTTCTCCTATAAAAGAGGTTGAAAATTTGGGTGCAACTTATACACCGAATGTAGCTCTGCCCACATGCCACCCCCGCATCCTTTGGCTTCTGGATCCCAGCAATTTGTCTCCTTTCAACAAACAGCCTGTTTCAGTTTCACCTTCAGCAGAGTCTGATTAGCAAAAGCAGCTGATTGTTGGTTGTATTGGCCTCCCGACAACCAGCTGTTTAAGGCTGCAGGGATTGCCATTGCCTATTGCCACCGCCGATCTTTCCATGTTGAGCCTCCGCATCCCATTTTTGGCCACTTCATGTGCTATTTTTGGCCTCCATGCACCCCATTTTCTGCTCATTCTGATCCCCACCACCTGAAACGGGCAGAAAATGGAGCCCACGGAGGCAACACTAGACAATGGCAATCCCTGCAGCCCGAAACAGCTGATGGTCGGGAGGATGAATCAACCGACAATCAACTGCTTGTGTTAATCAGACTGTGCTGAAAGTGAAACTGAAAGAGGCTGTTTGCTGTTTGCTGCAAGGAGACAAATTGCTGGGAGGCAGAGGCAGATTTTTTTCTTCTTTTCCTTCCCAAAAGCTAGGTGCATCTTATACTTGGAGTGTCTTCTATTCCAAAAAATACAGAATATACTGCTTCATGGTGCTTTACAATCCTCTATAAGCAGTTTACAGGGTCACCATCTTGCCTCCAATGATCTGGGTCCTCATTTTACTGACCATGGAAGGATGGTAGGCTAAATAAACCATGAGTCCTGCCAAGATTGAACTTCTGGCTATCAGCAGAGTTAGCCTGCGATCCTGCATTTAACCACTGCACCGCCAGGGCTCAGTAGTTAGAATGCAGTTCACGCTTTGTTTTCATTGCCTGAATTACTTCATGTATTTTTGCTTTATATTCATCCCAAAAAGCTCTTGAAAATTCAGCTACCCCTGAAAATCTTCTTTCAGATCTATCAGTTGTTCCGAAACAGAACTAACATTAAAAAATTAAAAGTTTATAACATTAATTCCAATTAGTCTAGTAAATATAATTATGTTGCTGTTACAGCAATGTTAAAACATTACAGTCTAGCTCCCTCATGTGGTCAAACAGCCCCAGTGAATATAAGCTGCAACAAAATATTCTCAAGGAAATTTTATTTAGAGGTAGAAATTGATAAGCATGAGTCATAAAACATCTCTTTCAAACTTCCTTTAATATTTATGGTTATAAAAATGTTCAAAAAGTTCACAAAACATAGCCTTTTGTAATGCTTATTACAAAATTATAGAAACTACTAATATATTCTAGTTCTAATACTATCTAATATCTACTAATATATCCAAGTTCTAATACTAATATCTAAAATTGCCTAGTTCTAATACTATCCACTATCTACAATCTACTAAGTCCTAGTTCTAATACTATCTAATATTTAGTGTCTCATACAGTATATCCTAATTCTAATACCAATATCTATTATCTAATATCGCTTAGTTCTAATACTATCTAATAGCTACTATCTAATATCTTCTAGTTCTAATAATAACATCTGCTATCTAATATCTCCTAGTTCTGATACTATCCATTGTCTGATATCTACTAGTTCTATAGGCTTGACTGGAATCACACAATGCAAGACATGATTTGTGCATCAAGCCTCCTCATAGGGTTTTTTTACTCGACAAAGGGTTTTTTTTTCATTACCCGCCATGCTTAAATTAGAGTTTGGATCACTGCTACTTAAGATGCGGTTTGGACCAAACAGTTTTTCCAAAAGAAGCCTTTTCTTTTCCGGCAATATCTTGGGACAGTTTTCTTCAGTGGGAGTTGAAGGGGTGTCTTTTTGTTTTTCCTTGGGAAATTTGGCAAATGAGGGCTCATAATTGTTGACTGAATCTCCTATAAAGTCAGCTATTTCACTCTGTTGCCTGTTCCATGGTCTTCTACTGCATGTTATCCTTGGACCCGTTGAAGGATATCCCTGATGTAAATTTTGAATGGCCTCTGAAAATACATACTGTTTTTTAGAGGTAGATGGTGTTCTATGCCTTTCTATTCCTGGAGTTAATATGTCACAAACAGCTTCTTTTGCCTCTTTATCTTCTTTGTTTTCCTGTTTTTCCACTGGTTCGGTCTTCAATTCCTTAGCCTCTGCTTTAAGTAGATCCAGCCCTTGCCTTTCTCTCCTGTTCTTGTATCTTTCTATATTTTCATACTGGATATTTTTTTCTACCCAGATATCTTCACTTTGTAATCCTGCAAAAAATGTCATTTCAACAGAAACTATTTAGAAACATTATTATTTGTTAAAGAAAACAACAGTGGCAAAAGTACATTGCAAGTAGTCCTTGACGTACGACCACAATTGAGCCCAAAATTTATGTTATTAAGTGAAACATTTGTTAAGTGAATTTTGCCCCATTTTGTGATTTTTCTCATCACTGTTGTTAAGTGAATAATAACACGGTTGTTAAGTGAATCTGTCTTCCACATTGACTTCGCTTGTCAGAAGGTTGCATAAAAGGATCGTAGGACCCCAGGATCCTGTAATGGTCACAAATATGAACCAATTGACAAGCATATGAATTTTTATGATGTCACCATGGAGATGCTGCACTGGTCATAAGTATGAAAAATAGTCGCAAGTTACTTTTTTCAGTGCCGTTGTGACTTTGAACAGTCACTAAATGAACTGTTGTAAGTCGAGGACTACCTGTATTCTATCTAGTGTTACAAACTATTTAAACTTGCACCTTCAGTTAAAAAAAACAGTCCAAGAAACATGCCACATTCGGTATTTCTTCTGAAGAACAAACATTATTCACAGTAGCACATAGCAGTTATAAAGTAAAGCTTTATACCACTATGTTTTGAGTCCTTCAGCAAAAGGTATGTCTTGTGATGTTTGCAGTTCAATATTTATAGTCATTTATGGTTGTTACCCATGAACGTCCTGTTTGAAATGCTGTCCACTGGTAATTTTTCAGAGAGATGAATTCCTGTTTCTGGAGCAAGTGTTTTAGCCATGGTAACTAATTCTTTCACCTCCATGTTGGTTTTCAATTCCTAAAAGGTCACAGGAAAAAGCATATATCTGTAAGTGGATGTTATCCTTTACATGTATAAGTGATAAAGTGTTGTTAAATCTCCATTAATAGCCTCCCTCCCATTTCGTTTTTCTCTGTCTAATAAAGTAACTATCTAAAGTCTCCCAATATTGTATTAACATAGTTTTAAATTATAATCCAAGAGAGGAAAACAGAAATAAATAAATAACTTTATTTTATTTATTTGTTAGATTTATATCTCACTTTTTCTTCAAGACTTCCATATTTCCTCCAATATTTGTTTACAATAGAAACTCCATATTATTTGACTGATAGTCACTAAAGCAAAGTTGCCTATGGTATTGCAAGTGAAAGAGGACTGGAACCTAGAATTCCCTTGTGGTATTCAGCATTTTAGTTAATACCAGAGACTCCACGACCTGTTTGGTTCTTGTTTCAGATGTATCACCTTACCACATTCCTCAATGTCTTCAACAATAACAAAGCTTCTAATGTACTGTCTTCACTAGAAAAGTAATTAACAATTCAGGAAGATATTCAGAGATGTATCTGCCTTGAAAATAGGCATGTTGAACTATATAGCCTGGTCAAACATCATCAGCTGACCCCAGGAAATATTTTGTAACATTTTGTCTTACAATAATTCTATGTCATTAAATTTGCCCAATTTCAATTCCACAGAAGCCATAGGTTCCGGATTTTGGACTATAAGCCCATTTCAGGTACCTTGGTTCAAAAATTGATTGCCCAAGGATGCACTCTTTTGCCCACTGAAAACTTACACAAACAGGAGAACTTTAATAGGATATAGATATCACTCTGATTACCTTCATAAACAGAGTCCACAAGACCTTGTCCAAAAGAAGCACAAAGTTATAAAGAAAGGAAAAGAGGAACCATTCCTGGGAAGACGTGGTAATGGGAAGTATTTTAGAATACTGGAATTATTGGCTTAAAAATTTGTTCTGCTTGTACAATTGAACTATTATTAAAATTACAATTGAAATATTAAAATAAGATTGATTAGGTGGCAACACTGAAATTTAAGCTGAGAATGCCACCTGCTGACAAAAGGAAAATATACAAGTCTGGGAATACTTACATGAAGGATTGTGAAAATATTTAATGGGTTATATCTACTACCACACAACTACTGGAGACTCAAATATGAGAACAAGGAAGTTATTTAATTAAAGTGACCCCTGAATGTTATCTTAGGAGATTGAATCTGTAAAGGGGACGTAAAGTGGCACCTGTTAACTCCTGGGGGTATTTAAAAAGAACTGATGGAATACCTATGTGATATAAAGAACTGTGATTAGTGTACTTCTTGAAGGGCAACTTTAGGACTGAATAAATAGTTCTTGGACTACTGGACAAAAGTTGGATTTTTAGAAAGAAAATAAGATGCTTAACAAGGAAGAAATGAATGGAACTTTGAAGGAGATGGTGTTGATTTTCCAAAGCACAAAGGATATCATGGAGAAAGGATGAAAGATTACAGAAAAAATGGAAAATACTATATGAGGGATGATGAGTAAGGATCAAGATGCTCAGAAAAGGGAGGAACTAAAAGAAGAAATGGAGGAAAAGATTGAACCGAAGAACCAGCAAACAAAAGTTGAAGATAAGGAAGAGATAATAATAACAAAAATATCAGTGACTGATGGATTAAACCAGCAGGAAAAATATCTTAAGAGAGTTGAAAAGAGAATTGGAGATACAGGAAGATATCTTTGAAAGGGAGAGAGGGGTTTGGGTAGATATTGTGGAAGCTAGGCAGTGCAAAACGGTAGTGATGGGAGAAACATTTACACTGAATAGCCAAGGAGTTAAATACAGATAGAGATCCAAGAAAGGAATATGGGAGGAAAGTTAAAAAAAAAAAAAGCATAGCAACCAAAGTTGGAAGTGGGCAAGAGACAATGGATAGGAAGGAAAGGAGTTTTCTTTTTTGTTGTTGTTCTGATTTGCTTTTCTCCTCCCTTTCTTTCCCTTCTTGTCTTAGAATGGTGGCATGATTAGAATTTAAGTAGGATAGAAAGAAAACATGTTTTAATAAAAGGGTGACATGATTAAAAGTTAGGCTAGAGATAGGATCAAGAAAAAGGGTGAATATCAGTATATACTTCAATAATCAAATAATGATAGACTATAACAATATAAATGTGCATTATTATTAGAAATATATAAATTGGTTGAATGTAATAACTTTGATTAATTTTACTAGGTTTATTTGCATCAGGATATATGACACCCAAGTCCCACACTGTTCACACATTAATATGTATATGTAAAACAAAATTAAAAAATTAAGGAAAAAAAGAATGATAAAAGTATTGTTCAGCTGTGCCATACCTCGTGGAAAGTCATTGGACTCACATCAGGCTCAGGCTTCCGAAGAGACGTGGCTTTTAGGCTGATATTTACTTGAATTGCTTTGTTGACTTTAACAACTATGAAAAGCCAATAAATAAATAAACAAACATGACACATTCATGACTGACATTACTGAAAGGCAAGTGGTATTTTATTTACCATACATGTTTAAGAGATTTAGTACTGATGCTGGTCAGGGGGATGGCTTTATTTAAGAACATCATAACTTACAATGGAAATTCTGAGCTGCATTACAGTCATAATTTGAGGACTGTCTATATTGGATAGCAGCAGCATGATGGGAAGATATTAGATAATCCCGTCAGTGGCAAATGCAAGGGGATTATTTCCTACTGCACGGGACCAGGCAAAGATAAACCACTCCTGTATTTCCTTCAAAAATACAGAGGTACACAAATGAGACCTACACTCTCCTTATTAATTCAGCCTATATGATGAACGTATATGAGGGAGGTGGGATTGGGGAAAAATGAGTATGCCTTTAAATTTGGAGGGAGAAACAGCAATAATGTGATCGTGCGCATGTAGCTCTAGTCAGATGGGCAGCTACGCTATATAAATTAGACAAAAATGTAAATAAATTTGCTTCTTATTAACACTTTTTGCTTCAAAACACATGATTTAACTCATTTGTAAAATGGCAGCATGGCATGAGGGAATAAAGCAATTTCAGTTCCACAGCCAGGCTTACATCCCAAATTAAAAGGCTTCATGAAAATGTAAGTCAGACTATGCCTAGGTATGATTGAACTGCGATCTAAATAGCACACAGATACACTAACATCCTGTAGCAAAGGACTTTGCGCTTTCTAAGTAAAGACCCATAAAACTCTTCTCCCATTATCTCTCCCCCTAGAGAGAATGAGAATAATCCTGCTTAATCAGCACTGATGACTATTAAATAATGAGCTCACAAAATGCAATATTGCCCTTTTAAAAGAGAAAATAGAGCAAGGATTTGAAATATTTTTTGAGAAGGCAAAGAAATATCATATTTCTTATTTCACAATACAGTATGAAACAAACTCCGTGCTACCTTTTGGAGAAGAACATGAATCGGCTTTCTCTGGATGACCTTTTGGCATCCGGTGCGCATAAATATTTCTGATGCCTACTTCTCGGTCTCTTTCCTAAAGAAATGCATTATTAAATTTATGTTGATAATATAGTTTATTGTATTAATGTCATTTCTTTAGAGATCATACATTTCACTGCATAACTCCCCCGAGTATTTCATTTTATTTATCTGATTTTAAATATTTGCTCAGGCATAATTTGGCAAATACTTCATTTTCTAAAGATTCTGAAGGATACATATCCCTTTTTTCTGGAACTGTAAAGTTTGTGATCAAGGTTTTTATTTTATTTTTACAATTTATAACTGATTAAATTTGACCTTAGAGGTCTTTCCAAAATGTTTTGACAGAAAATAGTTGTGACATTAACTAAGTATATAGTATTAAATATGTACTATAATTACAATGTAAATATTAACTGGTTTTCAATTTTGTATCAATACAAGCCTTGATTAACATGTTTTGATGTTGGGGGACACACTTTTCAAATAGTATCTGTTTCTAGAAATGGTAATGTGCATATTGCCTAACATCAAATTAATATATTTCTGCAATCTACAGTTTAGATAGTTAGAGGCGGAAAGAAAGAACCATAGAACAAGATAGGCTTACCTCAAATGAGCATTTAGCGAATAGCATCTTGGATGCCTTCCGTGGTAAGAGAAATGTAATTTAAGCTTCTAAATACCTTAAGTTTTTGCTTCAGCGACTGGATTTCTACTCGTAAATTTGCTGTGATTGACTGAGCTTCAATTATCTTTTTTTTCTCAACTGCTAACTGGTGACGAAAAGAAGCAGTGTTCAACGAGAGCTGCTTTTCCAAATCCTAAACACATTAGAAATAAACCATCAATAAGATTATTCAATATTTACAATCATACAATATTGAATTAGAAATTAGAGGAAGGCAACTGAAATTTTAGTAAATGTTTCCAAAAAGATGAAAATCCTCAATCTCAGTTATAATACTCACAATTTTTGAAATGGGAATCAGCCTATTTTGAAAGAAAATCTGAGAAAAGAATCTGTGTTATCAAAAATAATGTCATATGATGCTCAAAATCTGTTATGCAAATTAAGGAGAGAAAAATAGATAGAGGTCCAATTATGAGCTACACTATATACTTTTAATTTCTATTAATTGGTGGAAGAAATAACCCTCCCCAATCCTTAAATCAAGATCACTATATTTAAGAAATATAAATAAAAGAACATTAGATATTATTAATCATAACAGTAAAGCATTCGTGCAATCTAACACTGGTGACGAGGATGGGATTGGAAGACAGCTAGGCACAAAAAGAGCTGACATTATAATCAAGCAGTACAATGCAATTGGAGCATCTCGAGCATCAAGTGGCCATTTTAAGCAGCCAGTTCAAATTTCCCTTGACTGAACAAAATGATGATGCATGCCCCTCCAGCTCCTTTTGACCCAGCTACTGAGCACTGGAATTTCTACATGATGCGGTTTGAGTGCTTCATGGAAGCAAACTATCTTCTTGGGCTCTCCGACAACCGAAAAAGAGCCATGTTCCTGAGGTACTGTGGGCCAGAGGTCTTCGACACCACCAAAGCTCTATCCGAGCCAACGCCAGTTCAGAATGTCATCTGGTCAGTGTTACAAAATATGTTGAAAACGCACTATACTCCCAAATCTTCTAAATTTGTGCTGCAGCACTAATTTAATCTCCGAAGCCATAGAGTGGGGAGAGCATAAATCAATATGGTGTGGCACGGCATATTGTGAATTCCATGACTTAAATGAGTTGCTGTTGGACAGAATTATTTGCAGGGTTCTTAACATCAGAAGGCTGCTGGCTAAAACAAACCGCACATTGCAAATTGCATTTGATGAGGCAAGGGCTATAGAGTCCGCAACCAAATCCACTGAGATGCTGCAGAAGCACAGCAGCCCCAAAGGCACGTGCAGAACTGTAGAAGTCCATTGTGAGTCTATTGAGCGAGAACTCTCTCACAGCAAGGATGAGGTCTGCCAAATGGGCATGGAAAAGAAAAAAAAAGCACAAGATTTTGAAAGCCGGTTCCCACCTTGCTCCAGCTGTGGGGGAAACCGTCCAAGATCCACTTGCCATTTCCGAGACGCAATCTGTCCATGCCGTGACCGCAGAGGACACCTTGCCCGAGTCTGCAGAAGCAAGTTTCCAGTCACACCACAGCAGAAACCCTCTGCAAACCAGGAGGCATGACCAAGATCACCCAGATCTTGTGGAAGCCCCGGCAGAAGCAAGAAAGAACAGAAGCCACCGATGCATTCCATACAAAAATCTCGCAAGCCAGCATATAAAACCGAGAAACAGGAAGCTGCGAGTCACCATTCTTGTTGAGGTGTTGCCTTGCAGCATGGAGATAGACACTGGGTCACCCTGATCATCATCTCCTGGGCCACAATGAAGAAGGCCATCCCGAATATCAAGAAACACAAGCTAAAGTACCAAGAATTGTGCCTCAGTGACTACCAGGGGAATCGCATCCCCATCTTGGGCCAGGGCATATTCCATGTCCAATACAAGAACTTTAACGGCCTGCTCCCAGTGACAGTTGTAAGTGGCTTCCTTCCAAACCTGCTCGGCTTGGATTGGTTCAAATCCCCGGGCATGGGGGTAAACAGTATCAATGCCGTGAGAGATGACAGTGACAAAGACCTGCTGTGAGAGTTCAAGGATGTCTGCAGCGGTGGTCTTGGCAAGTATGTGGGGATCCCTGTAGCATTTAATCTTGACCCCAACATTGCCCTCATTCAGTTTTAATGGGTCGCCAGCTAAGGTCTCCCTTAGATTGGCTCCACCCAAATTATTCTGTTGAGCCACCTAGTGATTCGACCAGCAAACTAAGAACATTTAGCATAGGGGATCAAGTTTACAACCACCACTACGCTTCAGGGGGGGGGGCACTTTAGATTCCTGCCACAATTGCAGAAATTACCGGACCTTGCTCTTTCAAATTGGAGGTTGAGGACGGGAGAATTTGGAGGTGGCACATTGACCAACTCCGAGGCCGCCTGCTGAATTCCAACTGTAGGCGACCAGAGGTAACTCCTGCACAAGTTAGCCAAAGCCCTACCTAAAAGGAGCAAACATTCACTCCTTCCACAGACTTCTCAAGGCCAAAGGTACCGGAGTACTTATCTGAAAAGGTTGCAGGCCCCCAAACTGGCTCTAGGAACTCCAGCCACGCTTCATGTTATTCCTTTCATATCTCATAAAAGCTTGAAACCCAACATCTGTTCTTTCCATTAGCTTATCTTTGGTTATTCCTAGTGCTTCTGTCAAGATTTCTCTCCTTATCTCCATCAATTTTTCTCTCTTTTCTCTCTTTTCTTCTTCTGTGCTTTGAAGTCTGGGATAGAGTTCCAATCCATCTATCTCCCCTTTCCATATTCCGCTTTTGCCATTACCAACCATGCTCACTTTGTTGTCAGTATCCACAGTTTTCTTATCTCTTTGCTCATTTTTTCTTCCATCTTTTGAACTCTGTCCTCTCACTTTCTTCATTTGGTAAACATCCTCAGTTTCTCCATCAAATTTTTCTGTTTTGTATTC